GAACACATCTTCATAGTCAAATGTTATCATGAGTATAATAAAAGTTTGTTTCTGGATGTTTGGAACTGGGTATCTTTAGGGTTTAATGAATCATGAAGGAAGGAGAATAGAAGAGTTTGAAAGAAAACATAAGCATTTAACAGTAAAAACTGGTTTCAGTTGTTTTGTTTGCTACTATTACTGTGACAGGAGGCATGATGGTTTAATGGATAGAGGAATCGGAGAGCCAAGTTTGAATACTGGTCAGATCTATTACATTCACTTACATACTAATAGCCTTGGAAAATGTATGGATCCTCTTCTCACCCCAGTCGTGGGCAAATAGCAGGACAGACTGTGTTCTATAGCCTTGAGTGGCAATCAGTTTAGGAGATGGAAACTCTGAATTCAAAACAGGCCTGGAAAGGGTTGGGCTGCATCAGACTATCTTACCCAAGAAACATCACTTCTAGTGTGGCTGCATTGCATGTGGTGCCCCTACGGCCTGATGGGTCATGGGGTTCATGATATGCTTAAATGTATTTGTTATGAAAGATAGTGACCCAATGCATACATCACTTCCAGTAAAGAACTATCTCCAAATAGCCCAAACGAATATTATTGACTTGCCTACACAAAACCTGATTTAAATCTCATGGTAAATCTTTGGTGTGAGCTGAAAAACAGAGTTTCTGCCAGAAGATCATGAAGTCTAGAGAAGCTTCAAATACGTGCTGAAATCATTGAAAAGTCTGGCAAATTAGTGCAGGCTGAGATTCAACAAAAGGTCACACAATTAACAGTAATCAGCAAATTTGGTTGCTGAGGATTTTGACCACTGTAACTGAGTTTTGTGAATTTGTGCTCAATAAATTAATATAAGTTTCCTAAATGAAATTACTATTTTTTGACATATTCATGTACATATATATACATATATATATATATATATATATATATATATATATATATATATATATATATATATATATATGTACAAAGGAATGTTGATTTAACATTGAAACAAATGTACAATTTTGTAGTGGACATTTACATGTTCTAATGTAACAGTGCATATATATATATATATATATATATATATATATATATATATATATATATATATATATATACACATATATTTAAGTAATTCATTGTGTCTAGAAGAATCCTCAACAGAAAGCACTGGATGGACGTTTCATCCTATACTTGGGATTAATCAGTAGTATTTATCCATTACCAAGAATCAAACCTGGTCTATTATGATACAACGCAACTATTATACCAACTGTGTCAATGGTCCTCGATGACAAAGAGGTAACTAATTAGACTCAATTTAGCACCACTACATCAAGTCTAATTTCAAATCCTTATAATTTCTATATCTTATATATATATATATATATATATATATATATATATATATGTCTGTGTGTGTGTCTGTGTGTGTGTGTATAGATAGACAGAAAGAAAGATAGATAGATAGAGAGAGAGAAAAAGAGAGGTGAGAGAAAGAAATGAAGAAAACTTTATGAATTAGCTTGCATATATGATCATTTGCATGTTTGTATAAAGGGAAACATTTTATTCCGACTGATGAACTTTATTTTGAATACTAAAACAATGATAAAATTTTACAGTAAATTACTCAACTTTACAAGATCAGAAAAAAGAAGAAAAATTCAGAAGATTGTCTATGAATATATCAAGGATGTGCTGCTGTCTTTTCAACCAATTTTTTTATTTCTGCTTTTGTTTTTTATCTCTTGGATATTTTCAAGTAATTTTCTTTTAAATTTAACATATGTAAGACCAAGAAATTTATTTTCATTTTTTAAACTGTAATAGTGTTTTTTTTTTAATTCTGTTTGAGTTTTCTTCAGCTTTAATTCTTTCTGATACGTTTATAAAATATTTTCAACAACTTAAAAACAACAACAATGAAAAGGACATTTTTCATCACAAAACACTTTATTCAGAATCTGTGCAATACACATATACATACATGTACTTACAAATACATATATATCTAAAAGTAAGTAATATAAGTAAGTAATGCCTGTTTGGTAGGGTAGCTAGCTAATTCCTATTTCAAATGCCTGATCAGGCACATTTGTGATTCTTCAAGAGCCACAGTCCCAACTTTTACAGCAATAGAGCAGGCTGATTTTTCATTTTTTTTACAAACTAACATCCAAAATTTTACTATTTCAAGAATAAATCCAAATAAAGTTAATATCTTTTGTTTTAGATTCATTGAATGGAAAACATATTCAAACAAGAATTGTAATTATGAATCACCACAAGAAAAATATCAAATTTTTTTTACTGTATTTGATAATTAAAAACTGTGTAAGAAAATTGTAAAAGATTACAAAAAAGGCTACTTGATGAAAAAGACAAGTTAGATCATTTGTTAGATCATAAGTAATAAAAAACAAAAAAAAATAGATAAAAGTGTATATAACACCATAATACTGCTGGACATAAATTATAAGATAAAATGTTTTAAATTTGACTT